TTTGGATAGAGCCAAGTGTAAGGTTAATATACCATACAAAAGTTGCCTCAGTTAGAGAATTTGGGAACAGTCTTAACTTCATGTCATCATTATTGGTAAATTCACCACATTGGGCAACAAACCTAGCAATATGCTCTACCGATGACTGGTTTCAATTCCTATAAAAAAGAGCAAAGTCTGGTATTCTAAACCGTCTTGGGTATTCATGTACTTTATCTACCCATTCTGGGTATGGTTTTCTGTACACAAGAGTTTGAACCCCCCAGGTTATCGGTCTACACATCTCTCTAACAATGTCAGCAATTTGGTTCCTAAGAACCATATTTTGTGCTTGTTGAACAACTACTGGAGGAACAAACACAGGATTTGATGGACAACCTTGTGCTTGAGGTCCTCTTGGTCCATAGGGAGGTATATTTGGGACTGGTTGTCCCTGTGGTGTTGGCTGCTGTTGAGGGTATGGGTGACGCCTCTGAGCCTGTCCTGCGAAAGGACCTGCGAATGGTGTTAGAACAGGTGTTGTGTCTCTTTCAGTCGCAGGAAACCTTTCCAACCCCTCGGGTACAAATTCGAACAAAGGATTCGTGAACCCCCTTGTGCCAGGTATGGGTTCGAACATTGGATTTGGAAGCATCCTAATGCCATTTTCTTGTATTGGCCTGAATCCACCAATTTGCATGGTTTCGTTGTTAAGTAATGAAGCATTTTGATTTGTCACAGGCCTTGAAAGAGGCTCATACCAAGACTGAGGTGATGGTCTTTCATAGTTTTGATTACTAGTTTGACCATTAGTATGTCCATTACTCAGCATAGGCTGTTTATCTCTAGCCAATCTTTGCTGAGGGATATTTGAAATTTCCTCTATGTGCCTTGCGTTAGTTGGTTGATGGGTATTCATTCGATCTATAAAGGATATTGCTCATCTTTCTATTGTGTTCATTAACTACTGTCCCATGGCATCTACTAGGCCTCCCCATGGATTCATTGGCTGAGTAGATGGAACAGTGGATGGTCCAATTCCATGGCCTCGTCCAATATTTTGAACATGTGGTACTTGCTCCGAAGTGGTGGTTTGTTCGACCATAGGTTCTAATAAAACAGGTGCTTCCACAGGATGTGTTATTACATTATCCTCTAGATTAGGTATTTTTACCTCTCCTTCCATGCCTTTTTCCAAGCGTTCATTTTCTCCTTGTCTCCTACGTCTAGCCATTTCAATTATTCCCACTGGGCGTGCCAAAAATATATGTTGACTTTTTTGGCTTTCGAAGGTTATTATTGTAATTTTAAGCATGCCAGCAAGGATTAATCAGTACTTACAGAAGATTAATTGCCAACCAGTTATCAGACGATTATGTTTCAGTTCTTTTAGCCTCAACGAAGATGACTTTTATTGGTGGCTTTGTTTAGGAGAATTAAGCAAACAACGATTTAAATGAAGAACAATTGTAGCATTTCATTAAGTAAAAATGAAAGACTTACAATAATCCAATTCAGCCTCGTAAAAGTTTACAATAACAAGCTACTTGAAACTACTCTTATGAACGAAGTGCAGTGCAGGAATTTGAAGTACATAAACGTAAAGAAATGTAAAAACTGGAAGGAAAATAAAGTAGATAAAAACTGGTTTTTGAATCTGAGTCTGGGGGCTTCTTTTCGGGCCTTCTCTGTTATTTATACTTCTCAATGATAACCGTCAAAATGAGTTTCTAACCGTCGAATCATCCCTCCATGATCGCTGACCATGTTTCCTCACAGTTAGCTCCACTACGCCATGTCTGCAGTTAGGCTTCCCTCATAATTTTGAATTTAAATATATGAGTACCTGTTAAAGCCGCGTCATCTTGCATCTCTTTGCTGATTCAGTGCTATGCAGATCCACAATAACCAATACTAACTGCCACGTGTGTGATTACGATTTAGGATTTGAATTGTCTTCCGTATTGCCCTCATCCTGCCACATGTTAAATTGTGATTGGCCTGTACAAAATATGTAGCCAACAATATATATATATACACAAACAAGAGCATCAACAACTAAATCTACAACAGTAGTTGGGTCCAAAAAGCACTAAACTCATCAAAATTGGTAGCGAATAGAGGTTGGAAGAAAAGGAAGAAGAAGAAGAAGAATGGCAGAAGAAGCTACAACGATGATAAAGAGAACAACCGCACAGCGCCGTTGTCAACAGTGGTGTTAAACTACGTAAAGCGGTGGTTCCAAGAGGCCAAAAGCGGCGACTTCTCTGGTGAGTTTGTTAGAGGAATCATCAACGCCATCGATGTGGGATATGTAGATATGGCCTGGGTGGACAACACCGATTCCATCGACAGTGCAGCTCAAGAATCAAATTGAAATTTTTTTAGATTGTGTGAATTTTCTCTAGATGTGGAAACTGTATGAATTTTCTCTGGCTGTATGAATTCTCTTTGGACTGTATGAATTTTCTCTAGCTGTGTGAATTTTATCTGGTTGTGATCACTATGTGAATTTTTTCTGATTTGTGGTCACTATTTGTAATTTTGTAAATTTTCTCTAACTGTGGTCACTGTATAAATTTTATTTGGCTGTGGTTATTGTGTGAATTTTCTTAAATACTATGGCATTGTGATGTGTCTAGAGAAAAAATGTCCAGAGAAATTCTAAACATGAACACACAAACACACTCAAAGAAATTCTAAGGGGATTCTGATGTGTCTAGAGAAATTCCAAACATAAACACACAAACACACTTAGCCAAATATCTTTGATTTGAATTTTCTCTAGATGTGGGAACTGTGAGAATTTTCTTTGGCAATATGAATTTTTTCTAGCTGTGATTACTATGTGAATTTTTTCTGGTTGTAGTCACTGTTTGTAATTTTGTAAATTTTCTCTAGTGGTGGTCACTGTACGAATTTTCTCTAGCTATGGTCACTATGTGAATTTTCTCAAATATTATGGGATTGTGATGTGTTTAGAGAAATTTCAGTGAAAATAGATATGAACACACAAACACACTCAGAAAAATTCTAAGGAGATTCTGATGTGTCCAGAGAAATTCCAAATATGAACACACAAACACACTCAGCGAAATTTATCTAGTTTGAATTTTCTCTGGTTGTATGAATTTTCTCTGGATGTGGAAACTATGTGAATTTTTTTTGGCTGTATGAATTTTCTCTGGTCGTGATGACTAGGTGAATTTTCTCTAGTTGTGGTAATTGTATAAATTTTCTCTAGTTATGGTCACTGTGTGAATTTTCTCAAGCACTATGGGATTGTGATGCATTTAGTGAAAAGCCCAGAGAAATTCTAAACATGAACACACAAACACACTCAGAGAAATTCTAAGAGGATTTTGATGTGTCTAGAGAAATTCCAAACATGAACACACAAACACACTCAGTGAAATTTCTTTGGGTTTGAAATTTCTCTAGTTTCAAAATTTCTCTGAATCAAAATTTCTCTGGAAAAATGTTGAGGGATCCCAACTACTATGAAAATATTGCATTTCTTTATCCTATAAAATCTTAATACCAGGGATCTTAAAATAGAAAAAATTGGTTTAGCATCCCTCTCCAACTTTTAATAAACACACAAACATACAAACATACTCAGAGAAATTCTACAGGGATTCTGATGTGTCCAGAGAAATTCCAAACATGAACACCCAAACACACTCAGTGAAATTTATCTAGTAAAATGTTGAGAGACCCTAATTATTATGAAAATATTGAATGTTCTTTATCCTATAAAATCTTAATAATAGGGATCTTAAAAAAAAAATTCTTTAAATTTTTTTATCTCATATTTTAATCAAAAAAATAAAAAATTATTAAAATAACCTATTCCCAATTGAGACCTTAATGGATTTATTAAACATGGTATATTATGTCTCTATAGGTCCTTAACGAATTTCTTAAATGGGGTACATATGAACAATAATTTGGGGTACATATCTAGGTACCACTTTTACCTAAATGTTGCTTCTATTTTGTTCAGCATCGTAAATTTGAAGTTGGACAAGTAATTTGGTAATTCCTAGTGCATTGGCTCAACTCGACTGAATGTTACATCATCATATAATTGCATGACTACTAATATTAATATAATGTTTGTGGATTACTAAATAATTATTTCTAGAAATTGGAATTCATAGTTTGTTTTAGTATAAATGAATTTTCACAAACGTGAGTAAAAAAGGCTTTGTCGCACATGTATGTTTGATTTTGTGATTTTTTTTTTTTGTACTCTCAAATTGATTATTTTACAAAAATAGAGATAAAATGAGAAAGAAATGAAGAGAAAGTTCATGTGCAAGTGATTTTTTTTTTTTTCTTTTCTTCTTTTTTGAAGCAATTTTTTAATTTTTCTTGTGCATTAAACTACATAGTCTGTTGTTGTTTAGTACCTGTGCATCATCTCCAAAATGAAAGAGCAGTTGTACCCAAAAAAAAAAAAACACAAAAAATGATATTTATTATTTAAATTTAATTTTGATATAATATGAGACCACATCTAGGAAAGTTCTGAGTTACACATTTTTTTAATGTATTTTTCTTTAAATATTTTTACATGTTTGTAACATTGTTGAAACGAAAAGAGAAGGAAAAAAAAAATCATTGGATGACAATAATTCGAGTAACTATTCATTGGTTGGCTAAATTTTTATATGGTCTCGTTTGGGAACATACTAATTTAATAATTTTTTGATTATTTAGTTAAAATATGAGCTAAAAAAACTAGTATATTTGGGATGACTTTTTAATTTTTTACGAAAAGATGTACAAAAAATAGAGAGAAAGAAAATCTTTGTCTTTTTGATATAAGTTATTGACTTTTTAACTAATTTAATAACTATTTGACTTTTTAAGTAAAATAGAGAGTTCCCCATAGTCTAAAAAAATAAAATAGTAGTAAACAAGTAATAAAATATCATTAGACAGACGCTTCGTAAAATGTTTTAAACTCGGCCCAAGATCTACGACCCAAGCCCAGCGTGCATTGCATAGCATATATATATATATAGCGAGAGAGAGAGAGAGAGAGAGAGAGAGAGAAGATCTAGGGTTTGAGCAAGAGCAAGGATGTTTCCATCAATGTTCGCGAGGAAACCAGACAAAGAGGTGGCTCTGAAGCAGCTGAGGACACACGTTGCCATGTTCGGAGCTTGGGTCGCCGTGGTTCGGATCACCCCTTACATCCTATACTACTTCTCTGACCACAAAGAAGAACTCAAGCTCGACTTCTAATCCTCTATCAGGTAAACCCTAAATACATGTATGTTGTTGGTGTGTATTGGATTGATGCTGATCAACTTGGTGTTTTGTGAATTTTGTATTTGATTTGTGTCCTTGTGTTGTGTGTCAATCCTGATCTGAGATATCAAAAAATACCCTGATATTGTAAAACTTAAAAATTACCTAAGTTTGTGTTTGATTGGGAGATTTGTGAAGGGATTTGGAAAGAAAAATAGAAAAGGTAGGTAAAATGAGTATAAAATATTCCTACATCTCACCTAATTTCAAGCACCTTCTCTTTTTTCATTTCCAAATCTCTTCCCAAATCTCCCAATCAAACACAGCATAAATAAAGTGAAGTAAGAAGAATGGAGGATGAGGAATAATAGAGAGAATATATGGATTCTGTTTTTCTTATTTTGTAATAATGTGAGTATGGGATATACAGATATCATGTTAGAAAAATAAACTCATCTTACAAATTCTAAAACTTTTATATGACAAATAGGCTTAATGACCTTGTAAGCACTTAATAATAAAAAAATGGATATAATTTCTCCTCCTATTTCGTAAATTCTAGTGGCCCCTATTATTTCTTGCTTAAAAGAAAGCCACCAATCACTTTTATCCAGAATCCATGAAGTCCAGTGATTTTAGTGTTGAAAACCAAAAACAAAAACAGAAATGGATACCAGTTTTTGGGAGGACATCAATCACTCTAGAAAACCTAATAACAACTAATATGTTTTTGTGGAGAGATCTAATTGACTTGAGGGGGGAGGATGAGAGGAGTCCCAATTTTGGGGAAGAGGGAGGTGTTTGATGATAAGAGTTCAAGTGAAGAGTAATTTACATTTTTGTTGCTTTGCTTCTAAACATTTACAAGAAAATGGGGTAAGCCTAAGTTAAGAGGAACGTCAACTAAATAGCATCTTTTATTTGGTAGACTAAAATCTGTAGCTTGCTGCCACTAAACGACCTCAGAAGTGTTGGTGGTCTAGTCGAAACTATTGGCCTGATCAATTTGGACAACCTTGCTTACCTTGAGGTTAAGCCATTGGGGTGATGGTTGAGCATAGTGAAGAGGAGGACAGCATACAGGCATAAATATGGAATTTCTCATCAATTATCCGTTTCTTTATCGCTCAACAAAATATTAAAACTCATTAATATTGGAGAAATCTGGTAACCTATTTGTTAAAATTCGCAGTGTGGAGTGTGTTATTTTTGGAAATTTATTGACCTCATCACAATATTTTGTATGCCTAATTTTCCTTCTCAAACTTTTTTTAATACATCGCATTATACTCAAATTGTTAATTTGTGTGGATAGGCATTGGTAAATTATATTGAAAATACTGTTATGTAGTGCACTTAATCTGCTTGAGTGAATGGTTGTGCAACACATATAATTCAATAAGCAAGTCTTAACCATATTGTATTCATATATGATATTGATACTTGAATACTTGTGGATATGTGTTTATCATGTATCCAGAACTTAAATTACTTTCTTATAATTTTTGAAAAGCATTTGGCACTTTGAGATCCCTAAAACATGATCCCTAATAATGTGTCAGGGGCATTGGTTTGTAAGTAGTTGATTTTTAAACCAATCAATAACTGACATTGAGTAGTTTACATCATTGTGGTGGGTAAATTTGGAGTCTATGTTTTAGGAGTCACCTGCTTTTTTCATAAAACACAATCGTAATTTTTATTATTTTAATCCTAATGGCATTAGTGCATAATTGAATATTCAATTTGTAAAGAAAATATTGGTTGTGTATGTTAGGACAAAACCTAACTTTTTAATTTATTTTCGTAACTCATGTAAATACATACATATATGTGTATATATATTTGTGTCCTTGGAAAGAGAAAGGAAAATGTTAGGGAATAGAGGAAAAAATTAACTTTTATTTCATTTACATTTCCCTCCACAAACCTTTACCCAATTCCTAGGTTGAAACACAACCTTGCCTTGTGTTGTGTTTGTTTGGATTGTGAATTTAGATAGAAATTTGGAAAGGGAAAAAAAATTTATATCTCAGTCATATTTGCCGCGCATTTTTTCTATTCTTTTCTAAATCTCTACTCAAGTCCATTATCCAAACACAATCTTGATGTATTTGTTGACATTAGACACGAAGCATATCAAAGATTGGTCTATTTTGAACACAAAGCATATCTAATTAAAGTAATTCATTATGTGGTTGAATGGGCAAACAGCAAGGACACTGGGTCACTTGTGATGTTTGATTTTAAATCATATTCATGTACAGCTATTTTAGCATTTTCTTCTTTGCATTGTTGTAATTTTCAGACCTTCACTATTTTAGCATCAGTCAATTTTTTTATTTTTAAATTTATATTTGTTTATTAATTTTCTCTTCTTCTTCTTCTTCTTCTTCTTCTTCTTCTTCTTCTTTGCTTTATTAACACAAGAAATTTCTTTCTCCGTGTTTTACATTTTTTTATCTAAGTTGTTTTTAATTTTTCCTTTCTTATGGTGTGTTCTGTTTGTGCAGTTGGCTTGGTTGCCGGGTAGTGAAGGAATGCTGGGACTGGGAGATGATCATTAGCTTAATATATCTTCCTCTCTCTTTTTTTTTCTTTCTTTTTTTCTTTTTTTCGTTTTCTTTTAAATCTTACTCTAAATCTCATGCCAGTGAAAGATTGAATTCTGTTTCATCTTAAGCTTGCCTTTTCCAAATCATTTTTATTTTCATGTTTGGTACGGGACACAATGTACTCATTTTTTATTATGTTTGGTACAAAGACTGAACATGTGGTTAATCAGTAGTCCTACTTTCAAAGCATGACATTCAAATTCAGGCTCTGTATGCCTCAGAACATTGTAAGGTGCTTATCATTATTGACATTTATGAAGCTAGAAACCCACAATCTTACCATCAACAATTCCTCCCCATCAAAAAAAAAAGAAAAAAAAAGAAGAAAATCCTCAATTGACTTTACCTGACTGAAAAGGACACACTTGACATGGCAATTTCAATCTGTTCAATCCGTCTTGGAATTAAGAGGAGAAATACATGGGTATTGAATTAGTTGTATGATGATGGTGCTAGACAGATCAGGAATCCCTAACGAGTATACTCTCTTTTATTTAATCTAAGCTCTGTTTTTAACCAAAAATGACATCTATGGGATTATTTTTATTTTGGTTTTACATGTTTTTAGTAACAACAATAATAATAATAATTTAAAACATCTATTTTATTCATATAGTCATCATTTTGGTATGATAAATTCTCTGGAAATTTGAAATTTAATTCATTTGGTGTTTCTAAGTAACAGTTTTTAGAAAGAAAAAGAAATGAAAATAATTATCAAAAATAGTTTGTCAAGCGTTATATTATGTTTTTGAAAAATGAAAACAAAACCAAACAAGCCTAGATTTGCCTCAAAATGTATCATTTGGGGAGCCTTGTCACTTGCCCAGGGAGCCTTTTGTCATTTTCTATTGAGTTACAACATTACAACAAAAAATTATGGGAAAATATATTCAATAACTCTTTTAACTTTTTCCAATAATAACTGATAACCCATGTTAAAGACATGAGATCTTGCATTGCCAAAAATAAAAAATAAAAAAAGAAAAAGATTGGCTAGGATTACCCTTCTGATTCTTCACAGATCTAATTGTTACAAGTCAATTTGGTAGTTAACCGACTGACTGACAACGCGAGGGAGAGGGAGAGAGAGCAGAAAAAGGTATGAATTCCTCCTCGTCATAATAATATGGTATTATTACTTCCAATCTCCTCCTTCTATAACCAACCAATAGCACGAAGCTTCACCCAAAAATTGACATTTCCCCGAAAACAGCTGGCCATGGAAACCAAATATATGAATATCATCAGTAAAGACAGAACATCTATCAATCAAACTATAGCAAAGAGGACCACCAGGAGAAGTAATTGGTTGGTCTAAGTAAAGCGTCACGTGGCACTCCACATGTATTGTGATGGGTGAAAGAAGTGAGACTAAGGATTTTATGTTAGGCAATTGAAAAACATGAATGGTCATAATGAGTTGTGATTGGTGAAGAATACCGACATGTAACACCCCAGGACCAATCAACAATTTTTCAACCATGGTCCAGCAGTTCTTTGCCCTTCCTCCAAGCAAGATGTCTAGGTTCAATACTAAGGGGCTGCAACTTTTTTTCGAAGGAGTACAACAAAAGACTACGCTGTACTCCTGTCACAAAACCTAAGGCCTCATTTACTTTCAGAGATAGAATAGAGGGAATTCATAGTGAGAAAATTAATAGTGAAGGGATTATTAGTAAGCGAATTGATAGTGAGGAAATTAAGTAAAATTATGTTTGTTTTGATAATAGTTGTTAGTGTAGGAATTTTTAATTATTTTTATATAAAATAATAAAACAAATAAAAAAATAAAAAACATTAAACATTAATGTTTTACAAAAAATGCCCAACATGTAAAAAAAATTAAAAAATAAAAAATTTCCAAAAAAAATAATGATTTTTACTTAACAAAAAATACAAAAAATTAAACATTAATGTCAAAAAAAAAAAAATGCCCAACATGCAAAAAATAAAATAAAAATAAATAAATAATAAAAAATTTCTAGTTCGGCGGACTATTTTTCTAATACAAAGTCTTGAAGGCCCATCCGAATCTCCTCCCTAAGGGGACTCATAATCCGGAGCTCACTATCAATTTCCTCATCATCTCTCAAAACAAACACAATGTTAGTGGGTCCCACTTCACTACCAATCTCAATTCCTCCTCTAAATCTCCAAACAAACGGGGCCTAAGACCCTTGTTGTAGAGTGGGTGTGGAGGCCACTTTTACTCTAGTGAGGGCTCCCTTCCTATGGATTGGGTTAAATCTGTCAAAAGAGGAAAAAATTATAACAGTATTAATCTTATTTATGAGATTTCTCTCTCAAAACCTCTTCTAAATTTTGGATATATGATCATAAAAGCACCTAAAGTCAATATATATGTTTCAAAATGTCAAAAACGATTTTTTCAATAATGGTATGAACATTTCCTCAGGGACTGTTGAACAAATTGATATAGAATGTTTCATGGCTGAGTAGAACAATAACATATAGTGATGTTCATAGGAATGCAGTTCAAATCAACTAGTGAAGTAGCAAAAGTAGGCTAAATTTGAAGTACCTGTTCAAAACTTCAATTTAAGGTAGTTATGTCTTCTCTTAAGAGAACTCACAAAAAATCTACCTGTATATATACAGAAAGAAAGTTACATTCTCAGCTTGTATAAGAGGAATGAGTAGGCAATGAAATCAAAGACATGGAATGACAAAGCATTTTTTACCTTTGAGTGGAAGGTTGACTTGGTTCACAACGAGGATTTCAAAACAAGTAATCAACTGTTAAATCTGCCCTTAAAGGATTAAACAAATTCGATCAATTTACTAAAATGTAAGCCAATTTTGATCAAGTGTTCAGAATTCCTAGATAAACTATACATGTCATTATGCAAATGGGATGGATTACTTAGAGTAGGAAACAAAAAAATAAAAATTGCATACAAACTTTCATTTCAGAAGGGAAAGCCCTAAAGTTGAATTTTGCATCTTTCACCAGATTTTGTATTTACTTACCTAGGAGCAAAATCCAACTTACAGTAGTTGCGCCTACTCCCAAAATAATTCTCACCATACAGCAAGCTGTATGTCAAGAAAGATGTGTTCCCGCCTCTCTGCAAAAGGAATGATTAGGCAAGGGCTCAAATTTCTACCATGTACAAAGGCAAGAAAACAAACTTTCAGAATGCACACCAATTCATGTTACATAAAATGAAATCATACATTTAGGATTGTAGCAATCTGAACCCAAAACAAAGGTACCTCACAATGCTGAGGGACAAAATCAGCTATTCTTGTTTCTTGGGCATTTGAGTTTCTGCCATTTCCTTCTTCAACATCCCTGCTAGTTCATCATTCCCTTGTTTTGTATTTGCATCAATGAATGCGCTATAAATCTCTGAATTCGGCTCAAAACAAACCGTTTCCCTACCATCTCTGCCTGAAGCTTCAATGCTTCTTCCGTCCTTCCCTCTTGACATAATCCCTTTATTAGAAACTCGTAACTCTTCCTTTTCGGTGCAATCTCATGATTTCTCATTGCAACTCCCAAAAACTCCAAAGCCTCAGAAACCCTCTTCTCCCCACAAAGTCCTCTAATAACAACATCAACTGTCAAACCCTCTGGCCTCAAACCCTTCCTGCACATATCCTTATACAACAGTAACGCCGAATCGACATCCCCAATCTGACAATACCCACTAATGAGATGCTCAAAAGTGACACAAGAACTCTCCACACCACTCAACCCCATTTCTCTGAAAAACTCTTCTGCCTTTCCAACCTTTCCAATTCTACAAAATCCACCAATCATGGTGTTGTATGCCACAGCATCAAGTTTCAAACCCTTGATTACCAATTCTTCCCACAACTTCACAGCCTCCCCCATCTTCCCATCATCGCAATACGCGGCCATGAAAATGCTATAACTATACGAATTCGGTTCACACCCCAATTTGCTCAATTCACCCCAAACCTCTCCCACTTTATCCATCAAACCATCTTGATAAAAAGCAAGCATAATCACATTAAAAGTATGCACATTGGGAACAATCTTAACACCACCAATCCTACTCTTAACCTCAGAATCAAACCCAAAAACCTGTTTATACAAATCATACCCTGCAAAACACCCACGAAACTTCGAAACCGACCTAATCAACGAATTACAGGTACTAACATTAGGGAAAATAGCTCTAGACCGTAGCATTCGAGCAATTTCAATGGCCTGATCGAATCTTCTCGATCTCAAACAAGCTTTGATCAACAGATCGAAAACAAATGGTGCGGAGTCACACTGTCGGTAAGTCTTGACGAGGGTTTCGAAGATTTTGGGGGTTTTGTTGGTATCGGGGAAGTGGATGAGGGAGGATTGGATTAGGGTTAGGGTTTGGGGTTTGAGGCGGGAGCGAGAGAGGGTGTGGATGAGGATGGAGTAGGAATGGAGGGAGTGGTTGCAGAGAGAGTGGCGGAGAGTGAAGAAGAAGAAGCGGAGAGAGAGGTGGGGGGTGTTGCGAAGGAGGAGAGTGATTTGGGAGAATTCGGAGGGAGTGAAACCGGTGGGGAAGAGAGAGAGGATTTCGTTCCAGCGGGACTTGGAGCGGTGGTGCTTCAGGATTGAGACGACGGTGGAGACTAGGGTTTGGGCCGCCGCCGGCGAAGGTGGTGGTGGAGGAGAGAGGGAGGATAGATAGCGTTTGATGATAGAGGAGGACGCCATTGAAGCACTTCTCTCTCTCTCTCTCTCTCTCTCTGAGGTTTTGGTCTCTCCGGCTACCAATAGTCGGTCGGCGATCGTGTTAGACATCTCCCACGTTTTTTTTTTTATTTTTTATTTTTTATTTTTATTTTTTTTTTTAATTTGAGTAAAAGTTTCATACGTTTCAATTCAACCGAGCGTTTTGAATTTTTTATCAAATCATCAGTCGGTTTGGAGGACAGTCGGATTTATTCAGTTGTTCAATCGATTAGTATAATTTTTTTTACAAATTTTTATAAAAGTTTTTTTACAAATTTTTATAAAGAGATAGTCATTTTGGAGATAACTGACCGGATGTCTGGTCAGTCTTTGAGAGACAATTGACTGGATGTTTGGCCAGTCGTCTAGTATTTGATACTTCAACAATTATACGCAGTGAATAGATAAAAGTCACAAGTTATTTTTAATTTGATAAAAAATTTAAGATATCTTAGATTTGATGCTTGTTTAGTGAAAGGGTTAAAGCAGCAAAATATTTGGCTGTGTTTGGTACAGTTTTCCAATTACAACTTCACCTCTTCACGTGAACAAAGTGTTTGGATAGGGTTTTCTAAAATTAATCCCACCACACGTTTCAAAATACATTTATGTTTCACGTTTGACAGAGCTCATTCCAAAACAAACTTCCAACGCAAAACTCTCACATTTTCATGCATTTTTTTAAATTTTTTGAGTCTATGGGACATCTCCCGGATGTCCGGCTGGTTGAGCGCTATAATTTTTTTTTTTGAAGGGTAGCTCTTTCATACATACATACATGTGTTTGTGCTTTTGTAAACTAATTTTTTGTTGAAAGTGAATAAAAAATTTTGAATAAAATTGAATTGTGTGTTGTAAACTAGTTTTTTTTTACTAAAAGATAAATTGGTTACAAAATTCAAAAAAATAAATCCAAACAAAATATCACATCAAACCCTATAATCATTTCATTTTTTCTCTCACAAACATCACATATAACCAAAAAAAAACTAGGGCTGAGTAAAGAATCTGTGAAATCCGTAATCCGATCTAATCCAGTCCAATCCAGTAGGTTTGGTGAATAAAAAATTTTGAATAAAATTGAATTGTGTGTTGTAAACTAGTTTTTTTTTACTAAAAGATAAATTGGTTACAAAATTCAAAAAAATAAATCCAAACAAAATATCACATCAAACCCTATAATCATTTCATTTTTTCTCTCACAAACATCACATCTAACCAAAAAAAAACTAGGGCTGAGTAAAGAATCTGTGAAATCCGTAATCCGATCTAATCCAGTCCAATCCAGTAGATTTTGATTGATTTTTTGAATCCGTGGTTCGGTTCCAGATTGAAAAATTAAAAATCCGTAGTTCACGGATTGGTTCCGAATTGAACCCCATGTTCCGGATTAGAACCGATCCAATATACACTCTCATGCATAATATCTTCTCTTATTTCATATAAAACTTAAATCAAAACCTAAACTTGCATAGTATCTTCTTTTATTACTTTTGTTTGCTAGTTTTTAGTGTTAATTTGTAATGGTCTCAATACTTATGGTAGAACTAGTTTCCTTGTGGTTGGTTAAATTCCAAAACAGTTTGTCGCTATTATGAAAAGACATGTTGCTATTGTAAAACTAATTTGGTGCTATATTTATATTTTTATAAAATTAAAGTGTTATATATATTTTTTTGTTATTTAATTATGTAAATCCGTGGTCCTAAACCGATCTAATCTGTGTTTAAATGGATTGGTTCGGATTGGTTCCACGATTTAAACGGATTGAATTGATTCCAATTTTTCAAGAACCGTAGATAACGGATTGGTCCTAGTTTTATTCCAATCCGGACCATGCTCACCCCTAAAAAAAATCAACTATCTTCTCAAACACAAAAAAAAATTTCTCCAATAATATCCTACAACTAAAAAAACCTACAAAAATATCCACTTCCCAAACACTCACTGTGTAGATGCTAACAAAATAATATTTTAATTTTTGTTTGATTCTCACATAGATAATGCCTGATAATTTTTTTGGCCATTTATTTGAAAATAACAATACAATAAATAGAAAATAATTTGTGATAGTAATTATTAAAAATATAAAAATATTTTAACTGAAAAATATTTTTAAAAAATTCGAACCAAATATACAACCAAAAGTTATTTTAAATCAGTAATTGAATATTTATTTTGAAAAAAAAAATTATTGCCTTTGTAATACTTTCAATTAAAAAAATTGATTAATATTATTTTCGGTTAATAATTAATTTTTTCATTTGAATTTTAAAAAAAATTTGCTTATTGTGGGGATATATTTTCAAAGTACCAACACGTGGCCAAGGTAACAGCGACGTGTTAGCCAAGGTGCCACATGTCCTGATCATAACGCCGAGGTGATCTCGGCTAGGCCGAGGTTATCTCCGAAGATATCGGAATCCGAGATAAGCGGATAAGGGACAAGAGTCCTAGAATGAAGAGGGACTCAACCTGGATAAGGATAAAGCTTTAGGGAGTTTATCTTTATCTCTTGAAGAGTCCAGGATAAGCACTGAGTAGAAGTCCATTGAAACTAGGCTTCTATGGGGGCTAGGATTGAATTAACTATGAAAGAGAGGCAACCCCGATGGGTCTAAGGTACTTAGAACAGTGAGTTTAGCAATTGGTGATCTTTGAGAGATATTATACTGACTTAATTGTCGAAGTGCCCCCGGGTAGACGAGCCACTGCCAGAATCTTCTCTTTCTGTTGCAGGTCAGCCAGGTGTCATCTATTCTGCCAGTACTCTCCAGCTGAATACTAAGTTGGCAGTGTGGTCAGAAAATCACTCACATAATTTGGCGCCGTCTGTGGGAAAAAAAAGAGAATAGATGGCTAGTGATGGACAAAGAGATAAGGTTGGGGACGAAATCTCTGCTGGGAGTAGTAAACACGTTGACCCAAACGTGGAGGAAGATAGCCGCAACGAAGAGACTTAGAACCAGAATCACGACAAAAAAGACGTTGGCCAGGATGGCGATGTGCCAAAGAAACCAGATCGGAGCGGATACTACAACGAGGACGACCTCCAGGTATGGAATGATAGATGCATGTGGAGGGACGAAGAGGTGAAAGAGATGGCAAACAAGTTGGAAGACCTGCAATCGGTCGTCAATTTTATGATGCAAAATAACTTCATGCAGCCACCATTCCCGCTGCAGGACACGCTAATTCCAGTGGCCAATGCATAGAAGGGAGGGCAGAAACCAATCCCAATAGCCCCTCAGCACACCAGAAGCGAGAAACACTCTCACCGGCCTTCCAGGGAGGTCGGACGAGGAGAGTCGAGGAGAGAAGAGTCACGAAGGACACATCGCACTAAAGAAGCAGACCCAAGAGAACATCAGCACGTTCAAAGGCAGGAGCTGTGCTTCGACACAACTCATGGAGAAAGGTCGAAAAGGGCCCACAACGAAGCTGAGAGTAGTATGCTGAAAAGACTGAAGTCGGGAGATAGCCGAGCTCCTGGGCAGACAAAGGAGGACTTGAGAGATTACCTCAAGGGGAAGCAACAGAATGCCGATGGGGAGGTAACCTCCCCTGATAAGTTGAGAACACCCATTCTCAGTGGAATTGGACAAATTTGAGGCGCTAAAGAGATTCAGTATGCCGAAGTTCCAAATATACGATGGTAAGTCAGACCCCAACTTCCACGTTGGATTATACTTGAACTCAATGGCATTGTATAGTGGGAACGAGTCGTTGCTCTGCAAAGTGTTCCCCTCATCCGTCGGGGAGATTGCATCAGATTGGTTTCACAAACTACCAAAGGGTAATGTGAAGACCTAGGAAGGCCTGACCGAGATGTTTGTGGCCAGGTTCATGACAAACAAGCTGCAGCCATTAAGGGTGGACGCATTGATGGCTCTAAAGATCAATAAAGATGAAGGCCTTAGGGCCTATGCAAAAAGGTACTTTGAGGTGTTCAACCGAATACCAGAGTGTAATCAAGAGGTGGCGGTCGTATTTTTCAAGAACGGCCTAAAAGAAGACTATCCACTACGAAAATCTTTGGCAAAGACATTGCCAAAAAGCATGGAACAGCTCATGGCGAGAATCGAGAAGTATGCCAGAGCCGAGGAAGATACATCGGGGAATAAAGAGGCAAAACAAGAAAAAAGAAATGGCTCGCCAAAGCGAGACCGAGGTAACAATGTATCCAGCAAGCAAGAGATAGGACTGAGGGCTACACAAGCAGTTACGACTGCGTTCCGAATTCCAATTCACAAAGTCCTGGATAAAATTCGGAACCAACCCTATTTCAGAACGCCAGCAAGAGCACCAGGAGAGTTTATGGGAATAAACCTTGGCAAACATTGTGCTTACCACAATTAAGATGGGTACATGACTCAGGGTTGTAGAGCCCTGAAAACACACTTAGAGGACCTGGTGAGGCAAGGCCATCTGAGAGACCTTGTCGATGAGGCCAGGACAAGGGAAGAACAGGCACGACTGCCTCAGGCACCAGCAGCCCCACCTCCCCCAACACAACAACCTCAGACAGGAGGACCTCGGGTAATTAATGTAATTCACTCAAAGGTCAACGAGAACGAAATTACGAGGGAGACTCAGAAGGTAAAGCACTTACAGCATGTCTACCAAGTCGGGGAGAAGAGACATCGGGCAGAGGAGTGCTAAGGACCAGTAATGTCCTTTACTGAAGCCGACCTTGAGATGGTGCATTATCCATATAACGATGCCTTGGTAGTATCTCTCCAGGTTGGGGAATGCCAAGTGAAGCGCATCTTAATAGACCAAGGCAGCTCTTGTGACATCATGTATGTCAAATGTTACAAGGAGCTTGGCCTTCACCCAGACGAAATGGAACAATCCAATAGCCCAATGGTTAGGTTCAATGGAACGCCGACATGGCCACTGGGAACGACAAGCTTGAAGGTGCAGGCTGGC